GCCCTCACTTTCTCGACTCTTCCCAACTCGTCGCCTTTGAGTGGAAAATGGACGCTGTATGACTTTTTGCGAGGAGTTTTCGTTTTAATTTGGGTCCTCGGTACGTGTATAAGTAATTCTATCCTTGTATCATCACTAAATCTATGATTTAGGTCTGTACGTGATGTACACCTACATGATCAAGCAACGCCGCAAGGTTTTTGGTGGAGGGAAGGCCCGTCCGGGGTCCAAGAGTCGATTGGAGCACCTCCAATCCCAGTCGCGCAAAAAGGATTAGTTAAGACAAGCTCCTGACCACAAAAGTAGTATCGGGATTAGATTTTTCGGCGTAAACATTGGGTTGTATTGTAGTGTTGTTCGGGACTAAGGAAGCGCATGTAATTGGGATTAGGCCACGAATGTTCCATGAGGCTTAACGCCCTTTCTCTAAGGTAGGCGCCAGCACTTGAACGCCAGGAAGTAGGACGTGTAGTTGAATTACACAACCGCTCCGAGTGCCTACGGGGCCATAAAAAGTAAGGGTCTGCCTTCGGGAGACTAACTTGAATCGCCTTTTTCAGTGCGCCAGGCTCATGCGGGGGGCATTTGCCTTCCTTGTGCAGTACAAAAAACCTGCCCAACTGGGCCCTCAGTTACAAAAAGATGTGGACGCGCAGGGGATCGAACCCTGGACCGCCTGAACGCATAGCACCCAAGGGGCTTGCAAATCAGGCGTGATACCACTACACCACACGCCCTGGAGGATAAACCAGGTAAGGAAATATTGATACGCCCCCAATTGCCAATAGCGAATTTCACCTGATCACGCTACCCATAGCCGAGAGCCGGAGTCACGGACCTTGGACTTGCCCACCACGTTCTTTGGCTTGATCATGTTCTCCCAGCCTCTTCGACGCGCTGTCTACCCCTCTGCAAGGCTCTTGCGAAACTATGCCACTCCAACAGGGTCGTCTAATACTCTATTATTCCTGGAGCACAGTCAAGGCGCGATCGAGCCGGCTTCACTATCTGCTTTGACGGCGGCTCAGCAGCTAAAGGGAAAGGTCACGGCTCTGGTTGTCGGAGGTGAGGACGCTGAAGTGCAAAAGGTTGTAGAGGAGGCCAAGAAGTATGTCCTATAACAGTTGGCACTCCATTACGTCTAATCCAATTTATATAGACTCGAGGGTGTCTCCAAAGTTGTATTCGCTTCGGCTCCAACTTATAAGAACCTCCTTCCCGAACAACTCACGCCGCTCATCAAAGCATCGCTCGGTACCGACTCTTTCACTCACGTTGCTGCTGCCCATTCCACTCTGGCCAAGTCCCTCCTTCCACGCGTAGCG